TTTCACTTAATGTTCTTATGTGTCAAGTAACGACAGTGTTTTTTTATGGTTTTAGTTTTAGTTAATGTTAATAACCCTGGGTGATATATCTGTTTGTGTCTCTCAGTGTGATCTCAGCTGTGGTGTATGGAGCAATGGCTGTTGGAGAGGCAAACTCATTCACTCCAAACTACGCCAAGGCCAAGGTGGCTGCTTCTCATGTGTTGATGCTCATCGACAGAGTCCCAGCCATTGACAATGCCTCAGAGGATGGAGACAAGCCGGTATTCCTTTCACACATGCACTTGAACACCAGAATACACAGTATGCCCAATACGCGATAAAAAGCTTTCTAATTGTAGTGAGTCTTAATTCTAGGCAAGATCTCAGAGTTCTTAGAAGCATGTCATGAAATTAATCATTTACCACTTCTGCTGTTCTATCCTAATCTGATAAGACTCAGGCAGAGCTGGACTCTGCCCACCATAAATATCCTGTGCCATTCAATGTGTTCATCAAGAGACAAATATATTGCCATGATGACACTAGTATACACAAATGTGCTCTGATGTGACTGTTTCCTGTGATCTTTGTAGGATAAATTTGAAGGGAATGTGAGTTTTGAAGATGTGCGTTTTAACTACCCATCCCGGCCGGATGTACCAGTGCTGCAGGGTCTCAGGCTCCGGGTGAAGAAGGGGCAAACTCTCGCTCTGGTGGGCAGCAGTGGCTGTGGCAAGAGCACCACCATCCAATTACTGGAGAGATTTTATGACCCTCAGCAGGGCAAAGTGGTAGGAGAACACACATACAGACAAGTGACTCAGAGACCACGGGCCCTATTATACACACGGCGCAAGGCGCGGTGCAAGTGTTTTTGATAGTTTCAGCCCGACGCAGTTCTCGTTTTCCCGTCCTGCGCCGCGTTGTTTAAATAGCAAATGCATTTGCGCCCATGGGCATGCTGGTCTAAAAAAGAGGTGTATTCAGGTGCATTGTTGGCGTGTTATTTTGAGGAACTGAAAATAGACTGCGCCATAGACCAACTCAAACCTGGTCTAAAGTCTGGCGCAATATTTTTTCTGTTATTTAAAGAGCGCGTTAGTAATATGCGCCGTTATTGCACGTTACTCCCAAAAACACACCCATTACTCATTAAGAGAATAGGGACAACCCGTTTAGACCATGCGCCCGGGCGCGCCGACCGTTTTCCCGTCGTTAAACTAGCAAAAGTGGATTCGGACACACCCTGAGTGCACCTGCGCCATGCGCTTTAGACCATGCGATTAGATCGTTAAAATAGGGCCCACATCTTTTAGCTTTTTTAGCATATATTATATAATAACTTTTATTGACATGTTAATGTTTTTCCCACGGATATCTAATTGACTAAATAGTCTCAGTTGCTAATCACTCGTCCAACTCAGCAAGATGTCATTCACGCACATACTTACACTGTCATTCAGTACACAACAGCCATGGAAGTCACAACCTTATTACCTTTCTCAAAGGTCAATAATAAGGCAGGCCAAAAAACAAGGAAATCCGGATATGCACATCAAAGGGTGCTTCTCTTTCACCTGCATACTTCAGGTCCTTAACCTTTATGACTCAGACCATAACACAGACCTGTTCACACGCTATTAACCTCCGTTTCATGTGATCTGATCACAAGTGGACAGTGCTAAACAATCTAACAGTCTAAACAAGATTTTTTTTTCTAATTGATCAAACCACATTCACAGTTAGTCACAGGTAGCTTTTTTTGTATATATATATAAAAACGTACAAAAAAAACCGACTACAAAAAACGTTATTATAGCAAAATAATATTTAGCCATTAGGTCCAAAAGCAAAATAATGTACCTGTTACAGAAATATGCATTGTATAATAAAGAAGCATTGAGATGCATTATACCAGTAATAAAACATAGTAACAAAAGTTACCCTTTATTAACAGATGCTGGATGACAATGACGCAAAGCAACTGAACATCCACTGGCTGCGCTTGCAAATTGGCATCGTTTCCCAGGAGCCTGTGCTGTTTGACTGCAGCCTGGCAGAGAACATCGCATACGGAGACAACAGCAGAAACGTCAGCCAGCAGGAGATCGAAGAGGCTGCTAAGGCTGCTAACATACATTCCTTTATAGAGGGGCTGCCACAGGTACAGTGCAACCATCGTCCTCATGTACACCCCATTCAAAAGTCAGGGGTCAAAACTAAGAATCTTTTTCAATACTTTTCTAAGAGAAATATTTTTTTTTAAATACATTTATTCAGCAAGGACACACTAAATTGATCATAAGTGACAGTAAAGATATTTTTATGTAACAAAACATTTCTATTTCAAATACAGTAAATGTTCTTTTGAACATTTTATTAATCAAAGAATCCTGGAAAAATACAGTAAGCAGCACAACTGTTTTCAACAACAACAACAAAAATGTTCTTGAACAGGAAAACAACATATTGGTTTCTGAAGGATCATGTGACACTAAAGACTGGAGAAATGGCTGCTGAAAATTCATATATTAAAATATATTATGCAATATTTTAAAATATTAAATTGTTATTGTAAATTCTAATAACATTTCAAATTATTAAAGTTTTTACCTTTTTTATCAAATAAATGCAACCTTGGTGACCACAAGAGACTTATTTTTAAAACCTAAAAATAGTACCAACCCAAAACAGTAGTGTACATTAGAAACAAAAAGCAATAAAATAAGCAATAAATGTTCTAATCTTGTAACAAACAAAAAAAAACAAAACAAAAAAAAAATATATATATATATTGAATGACTGTCTACAATTTTACTAAATAATATTGTGGTGTGGTTGCAGCAATACCAGACACAAGCAGGTGATAAAGGTACACAGCTGTCAGGAGGGCAGAAGCAGCGTATTGCTATAGCGAGGGCCATCCTCCGCAACCCCAAACTCTTGCTGCTAGATGAAGCCACATCTGCTCTGGACACTGAGAGTGAGAAGGTAAGATCACAGTTCACACAACAGCAGCATACACTTGTCATACACAGCTCAGTTATATATTATCGCCAAACTCATATCATTATCTATCACAATGGTTTCAACTAGAATTCAAAGCTATGAGTTTGCGAAAAAGAATCGACTTTGGTTGCCTGTTCATACAGATAGTATTCAAGCTGCTTCTGGATTTACAAGACAATTGAGAGCAGCGCCTGCTAGAAAATAGTGAAGATACTGTATTTATTTTACTCAACTTCCCTCGTCTCTCTTCTCTCTGTCCTGTGAGTAGATAGTGCAGGATGCTCTGGATAAGGCACGCGAGGGCCGCACTTGTATCATCATAGCCCACCGGCTGTCCACCATCCAGAACGCAGACCGTATAGCTGTTGTCCAAAACGGGGTGGTGATGGAGCAGGGCACACATCAGCAGCTCCTCAGCCAGCAGGGGGCGTACTACACCCTCGTCACCTCTCAGATGAGTCACTGATGGTCAAGAGCAGCAGCTGCACATGCAGATTCTAGAAAAAATGAAATTGAAATGCACTCCTGTGCTTGCGAGCCTGTATTTCATTTTAGGTGCCATTGCTACAGGAAGCCGGGAAAATAATAAGGATGTGGACATTTGTGTCCAAGCGTAATGTTAGCAGAGCAGAAGTCTGACTAAGCATTGTGTAACTGTCAGTGCCTTTAAAGTTTTAAGATGTAACATTAATCCAAATCAGCACTTTCTTGTTGCTGATTTAATTGTATTAAACAACAAAAAAAGGTATTTCTGTTAACCCTTCTACCAAGCACTACCATATTCTGATTTCCTGGTCACACTTTGTACACGTAGAGGGCAGAACATTTCAAATGTAATTGTCTTTACTTAATAATGTACAGTAATTTATATATACATAAATAATTTGTCCATCTGTGCCTAATAGCAAAAATGTTGCCTTGCTTTCTCATTAGTGAAGACAGTTATTATTCTTCAGGTGACAAGAAGACCAAAGAGTTTGTATTATGAGTGACTACATGATAGTGTTCTCTGTGTGTGGTGCCTTGATATTTATCAGACTAACATAAGGCTGGTTTATTTTGTCTTATGGCATTGTTTTCTTATCACACACTGTAAAAAAAAAAAGTTTAGAATAAAGATTTCATTTTTCATTAGCCTCATTTTTTTATTCATATTCTACAGTACACTGAAGTCATAAAAGTAGACAGTAGACTTTAAAATTCAAAACGTGTAGTTATTTTTTGCACCTACATTACATTTTAAAGACGCAATGAAATGCATGGTGCATTTCCTCTGAAATGTAGGACCGGCACTATTCTATTCATCAGTAGCTGATTGGAGGCAGATCTGAATGTGAGCTTGCAGTTGATTGCAAGAAAGCGCGGACAAACTGATTGGAAAAGTCCAGCATAAATCATGAGAGAGAGGTCTGCCATTTCACCCTTAGATCTGGAAAATAATTTTAAAAGAAAAAAAACATTCATTCATTCACAATAAGATGAACAACATGCATTTAGAAAAAGAACTTGGCTGAGTTTTCCTTTCATGCCGATTAAATTTACAAGTTAGTCATGTTTACAAACCTAAATCACATTCACAGCTGGTTGACTGTCACAGTGAAAGGATGCCATATGCCAAGCTAGATACTGATAAAGATTTTAATAATTCACTCGCCTTCCCATAAAATGAAAATATTTCACCAAGACACTGGTTTAAAGATTTGCTGCATTTACACAAATGTAAAACAAAATCCACAGCTGTGCTTTGACACTGAGACACTTATGAAATGAAGTCTAAATTACTGATTATTTCCACAAAAGTAACTATGCATTAAACAAGCATTTAGATTTGAGAGCTGTAATCACTTTAATATATATTTACAATCAATGCACATTTCAGAGACGCCAGTCTCAAGACTGCAACAATCGAAAACAATCAGGCATGTTTGAGGCCATAAATGATAAAGCAAGTGGACAAATCAAATTCTTACACAAATACATGGTTTATTCACAACATATGAATACTCAGTGGCAATGTTTACAATTTCTTTTACAGGTAATGGCGACAAGCAAACTTGTGTTCTTGGTCAATTTGTGGGCAATTCACATTCAAATCTACATGCATGCATGACCAAATTTGCAATTCAAAATAACAGCTGGAAAAGATTTAAGGTCCTATGATGAAGGAAGCAGCCTGTAATATCTGAACCAATTGAAATTTCAGGAACATTTATTCAGTGTTTCCCAATATCTAGGAAAGCAGTGCAAATTAAACCTACATTTGTTAACAAACAGTAAAATGTTTTTACATAAGCATGTACATCTACAATATAAAAACATTCATTTATATCCTATTGGTTCAAAATGATTCTAGTGCAATAAGCCTTAAAGTTGGAAAAAGCCACATGATAGTAGAACATTTTCAAATTAAGAAAATAAAGAGGAATTATCTTTCTGCATTATACTTGCACTGTTGCATTGATTTGTGCATTAACAGTATATCTATTGTGTATGTGTGCAAGAAGTGAACAGGTCAAGATGAACTTCCACACTTGATGAAGTTCATCTAAAATCACATTGTTTAATGTCTCGCTCTAGTGGACTTATGATGCATGAGCATCCTGTGACATTATACAGTTTCACAGGTCTACAGTTAACAGGAAGCAATACTGCTAATGTAGCAAAAACTGTAGGTTAAAAATCATGCAGCCCCTCAGAGGAGGATTTCCTGATTGAAGTGATTCAGATGATTAACTGAAGGCACGTGAGAGTTTAAAGCACCTGCTGTACTAAATCCAGATTCTTTCTGAAAATGTCTGGTCATTTCTCAAACAAATGTCACATTTCTTCACAATTCGACTCTTATCTAATGTATATATTCTGGATACGACCGAACAAGAGAGCATATGAACCGTTTTAAATTCACAGCATGGTAGATCTGTCTAAAGGCAAGGTCATGTCTGAGACAGCAGCCCTTTTGCTCCTGTCCTATGGCATATCTAAAGCAGTGAGGTTACTTCCCAGAATGCTCTGCTTCACAGCTGGGACTGGGTAGTGACGTGCATGATGTCATGTAAAGAGGTGCAGAGGTTCTGAAACAGGGTTTCTGCATCTGTCTCTGGGTTGGACTTCCAAGCGGTGCAGGACGCAACAATTCTGAGAATAAAGAATAAATTAAATATAGAATTGAATTAAATTAGACCAATATAACAATAAATTATAATTAACATGCCAGAAGAAAATATAATACACTACTGGTCAAACGTTTAGAATAATTAAGATTTTTAAAAGTCTTTTATGCTCACCAAGGCTAAATTCATTTGATAAAAAATACAGTAATATTGTGAAATATTATTAACATTTAAAATAACTGTTTTCTAATTAAATAGATTTAAAATGTCATTTATTGCTGTGATAGCAAAGCTGAATTTTCAGCTGATTTGGTGCTCAAATATTAATAATGGTTCTTATTATCAATGGTGAAAACTGTTTTGCTGCTTAATATTTTTGTGGAAACCATGATACATTTTTTTAGTTTTTTTTTTTTTTTGATAGAAAGTTCAAAAGAGCAGCATTTATTTGAAATGGAAATGTTTTGTAACATTATAGATGTATTTACTCAAACTGTTAACAGTTTTTTGTTATTAATTGAATTCATCCTTACTGAATAAAAGTATTAATTGTTTTTAATATTACCCCAAACTTTTGAATAGAATTCTAAAATATATTGTAATACAGTATATAAAATGCATATATAAAACGTGATAACGTGAAATAATATTTCAAAAATATTAAAAATATAAATATTTGAATCCTTTTTTTTTAATGGCATAAACTGATATGAACCAACCTGTCATCACGAATGCGGTAGAAAAACCCATATCCGTGTGGCACCATGGGTGCAACTGCTCCCAGTACAGTGGTGTAGCCCACCAGACTAGTGGAAAGCACAAAACTCCCCCCTCCTCCACTGCAAATACAGAGCGACACTAGAGGGGCTGCAGTGAACTGCCTTTACAGCAATACACACAAAACAATACACTGGCAATGAACCATGGGAATTAAAGTGTTGGGCCAGACCTCTTAGTATAGAGCGGATCCATGTAGAGTTCAGGCACAGGAAGACCCTCCTCCTTGGCAATCAGGTATAAGCCCAGGAGGTGTCTGTCAAAGCCTGTGCAAAGATCATTCAAATATTTGTCCCTGCCATATTATCCATTACACAATGTAAATATTATTACATTGACAAACACAAACCTCTTCCATCCTGTGCCTCTGCCATCAGTTTATTATGCTTGCTGAAGGCTGCATTTAAAGCTTGTCTTTTCTCTTCAGTCTGTGTAAAAAAGACAAAGAAGCCATCAAAGCAAACCAAATGTCAAGAACAGTGGTTCTCAACCAGGGGCCTCAGCAAACTTCCAATGACTTAAAGCTATTTAAAATAAGAGAAAATAATTAAAGATGCACTAAAACAATTAAAATTTAAGATATTTCTTATTTTATTCATCTGCTCAATTGTTTTTTTTTTTCTTTGAAGAACCAGTGTTCCCATGCTCTCTGAAAACCTGGATATATTGAGGTATCCTAATTTTAAGTTCTGAAATATTTATTCGGGTGGACATTTTTAGTAAAAATATTTTCAAATATTTTTTTCAAAAATAAAAAATAAAAAGTTAAAAAAATGTTAAAAATGCCCAATGACCAGATTCAGCTCTTGAAACTTAGCCCTAACCTAACCCCAACCCTAGAATTCTGAAACTTGTTTTCATTTAATTATGACTAGCAAATGTTCCAGAGTAAACCAATATATACAGTTCATCCCCAAAAATAACATTTCTACCTTGTCCTCCCAAAACCGTATGATTTTTCCTCCATGAAACACAAAAGGAAAAATTTTGCACAATGTCCAAGCTGTTCTTTTCCAATTAAAGAAAGGGGGGGAAAAAAACAATAAAAATGGTCAGCTATATTCCAAAGATACCATACGACCATATGACAGCTTTGCATGAGCACCAGACCGAAATTTAAATCGTTATTTGCTAGAAATCTTTGCCACAACGCTGCAGACACCTTCACGCCACTGTAATATAGAGCACAAGCCATAACTTTATGATACTCTTATTTACTTAATTTACTTATTTAAATTTACTTTGACCGTAAGGTAAAGGATGGGTCATACAGGTTTGGAGGATGAGTAAATGATGACAGCATTTGAATTTTCGGCCGAACTAAACCTTTATTTATTACACATAAGGCACTCACAGTGGCTGTAGGGTTCAACATGGTTCTGCACCAGTGCTGGGCCTCCACAGTGCAGGGCCTCATGGTCTCTGTACGGCCATGAAAGAAGCGCCGCGTGGTGGCGGTCTCATAACAACTACCAGATCTGAGAAGTACAGAGAGAAGGATGCCAGTCTTAGCAAGGGCTGAAGTGTTTTGATTTTTCAGTCAGGAAGCTATCTGACACACGTACTTTCCGTGTAGCCTGTAGTACGCTAACTGCAGAGCCAGCTGTACAAAAGTGTCAGGGTGAAGCTTTCTCTTCTTAATGGCTGCTTTTCCAAATGAGCTGAAGGCATAGCTGACAATCTGCAGGTCCTGAGACTGTAGATATAGATGCTTTGAGATTAAAACTAAAAACCACGTCTGTTTGTATTAGAGCATTACGGGATTGTATAACAAAGACTCAGTAATGATATAGCCGTGTGTGTGTGTGTGTGTGTTACTTACACTTTTGGTGTATTGTTCTTTAGCCAGGGCTATGTCTCTCCTCACCCGCTCATCCACAGTGAATATCAGCTCCTCCGGGACAGGCATCTCACGCACAACCTCTGAACCCTGGGAGTCACATCATAATTTCAACATGCACATTCACGTATATAAAATGACACACAAATATACAAAAATGCAGTCTTACCTTCCACACTCCACCACAGGCCCTCAATTTTTGATCTACGTAATATCCATTAGATACCAAAACCATGGCATCATATGGCGCATGCTTTAAAACAAACAAAGACATATACAATAATGACATTAAAATGTGATTATTATTCAATTAGGTATTTATATCATGACTGACACAGACATGGACTGCAATAACTACTGGTAATATTCTGACTAGAAAATTGTATTCATCAACATAATGTCATATTTGGAATAAATGCACACAGTGCAACATAACTACACCTTATTTCACTTAACACTGTGTGATATAATTATTATTCAAAGATAAGATTTTTCAAACGTTTTTGAAAGAAGTCTCTTATGATCACAGAGGCTGCATTAATTTCAGTCAAAATACAGTAAGAATAATAGAACACAGAATAATATAATACAGAAATACAGTATGAATCGTGAAATATTAGAATTTTAAATCTGAAAATGAAAGTAGCTGTTAAGTAGTCGGTACTCCAAAAATCTATTAATTATTAAAATTCTATTATTTAAATGCTGAAAACAGTTGCTTAATATTGTTGTGGAACACATGATACATATTTTCATGATTCTTTGATATATTAAAAGTTCAAAAGAACAGCATTTATTTGACATAGGATATGTAAATGCAATGTAACATAAAAAAGTCACTTTTGATCAATTTACTGCATCCTTTCTGAATAAATCTATTACTTTTTTAAAAATCATATTGATCCCAAACTTTTGAACAGAAGTGTATTTAAAAATATACACAAATTTAAAAAATGCTGCAATGATCAATGTTTGTATTTACATCACAGTTAGAAGCGAAGGTCCCATTAGAGAAGCAGATCAGATTGTAAGATTTATCACCCCAGCGGATCGTGGGGTCACCAGTCAATGCCAGGTGGGTCAACTATCAAAAGAGAGAGAGAAATCTTTGTAAAAATGGCTGAAAAAGAAACTTAATATCATACAAATACAGTATCTGAGTGACATTCATGACTGTCCTCATACAAGAGCGTATGTATTGTGCTCAACCTGTGTGCAGTTTTCAGGGGTGGAATAGGGCTTGGCATCGTCCAGGGCGAGCACAAATAAAGAGCTCTGAATGGTCTCTAGTATGGTCTTATTCACAGGATCAATGGAGATCAGATATTCCCGAGCCTGAAGAGAACCCCATCATCATAACCAATCAATACACTATTAAACACAGATTTATAAACTGTCAGTGAAACTGTAGTGAAGGTCCTTTGTCCATTCTTTGTACTGTAGAATGTCAGGTGGAGTTCATTTACATACTGCACTGTGATTGGTTGTGGTGCTCCCGTAGAGGGCGTGGCTCTTACCTTTGCCCAGCGCGTCCTTTCTTCAGTGGTGAGAGCGCTCACTCCATCCCCCTCCAGCTCTCCATCACAGCATTCTTTAATGTAAGTCAGCTGCCTAAAGAACACAAGGGCTATGTGTGGAATAGCATGCTGCTTTGCTGCAGTATATAGTATGCATACTGTGCACATTACATATAGTACACTACCATCCAAAAGTTTTGGTCAGTAAGACATGTTAATGTTTTTGAAAGAAGTCTCTTATGCTCGTTTATTTGGCTGCATTTATTTGATCAAAAATAGACCAAAACTGTAATATTGCGAAATATTATAATGTTTTCTATTATAATATATGTTTAAAATAATTTCTGTGGATGCAAATTACTCCAGTCTTCAGTGTCACATGATCCTCCAGAAATCATTCTAATATGCTGATTCGGTGTTCAAGAAACATTTCTTATTGTCAGTGTAGAATTTGGAAAGCATTCGGAGAAAAATGCAAATTTACTTTAAACATTTTCATTTCCAGTATGTTGAAGAATTTAACATGTAACATGATGACAATAATGTAGCATACTACTATATTAAGTATTTATCATGCAATACTGTTTGGAATAATAGTAGGCAGTATACAGTGAATACTCTGCAGTATTCAGGAAGTAGTATTCTAGTATTCCATTCGGAACACAGCCAAGAACAATGAATGTGCATAAATCACACAAAATGAAGACATATAGATTACACTGGATCAATAAAACCAACCCACTGAATCATTGAAAACTAGGATGCTTGGCACTATACCTCAACAGCTCTGGGGGAGTGAGGATACGGCCATCACAGAGAGCATCAAATGTGAAGACCCTCCCACGACACATCACTATCATGTGAGAAGGGCAGGGTCCTTCGCTCTCTACAACACACAGAGATCACACATGCAGCATAAAGGAACGTATGGATGCATTTATGCATACAAACAAGAACGCATATGCCTAACCTGTTTTGAAGAAGTTGAGGATGGTGTCTTTATTGACGCCAGGCACTTTGCAGGTGCAGAAGAGCATGCGGAACTGATCCATGTCAAAGGGCATTGCTCCTGCTTTATGAACTACCAGCCTCTCCCTGATGAGTATCAGCAAATGCAAACAAATAGCCATATTACGTACTTAATACATTACTGATGCAGATAACAACAAGCCATTCGCAATCAGAAATACTTTTGAAAGACATTTACTACACTGACTGTTTCTTTGTTCACATAGGCGATCACTTACGTGCGGATAAGTTCCCAGTACTGGAGGGTGAACCACAAATTCAAGCTGGTCCTCTCCAGCTGTGTGCCATCACGTACAGGCCAGCAGTGCTCCACGTAGGCTGTAGGTCCTCCAAAATTCACATTGAGCTGAGAGGGGACGCGCACCTCTAGATACGCTGTGTCCAGCCACCAGTCCTCAAGCTGAAGAAGAACAAACGAGAAATAATGTCTATAAACTACACATGAAAATACATGTCATGAGTTAAGTGATTCATTAGTCTGGCTCAAACAGAGCGGTGCAAAAAGAAAAAAAGTGGCCTACTACCCAGTTGCGCCTGCTCTTGGCTCTCTTCAGAAGCTTTTGATGTAGCTGTTGTCCGATGCCCTCCTCAAAGCGTTTCACAATGGCCACTGTGGCTCGAAACTCCTCCTCAGATGCAAAAGGTTTCACTGGAGAAATAATAATAATAATAATAATAATAATAATAATAATAACAACAAATCAAATTCAATTCCAGATTTTTCCCTGCAAGGTGAACATGTATTTTACTCATTGCCCTATAAAACAAACTGAATGTCTTTTCTATATATATTATTTAGTAATACTACCTTAATAATACCCAATAGAATTTGCAAAACATAAAGGTACAATTTTTTGTATTTTTTATGTTAATACTTTACTTTAATGCAACAATCTATAAGTGAATCATTCAGTTAAATATTTTAGTTTAAAATGGGGCTTTGTGTTGGTCACAAATCTGACCAACAATGTTTTGTTAATGTTTGAGCAATAATCCATTAATAATATACCTTTTAAATATTAAATGTACAAATTGTGGTATTTTATCATATAAACTACCATAATTTGTACATGTAATATTTAAAGTTCCATAAAAGTAAACAAAAAAATATAATATATATAAATATAAATTAAATATAATAATAAATATAAACGTTATCTTTTCTGTAAACTTTATAACATTGACACAGGCCAGTGTCATTTTAGTATTATTTACTACTATAGTTTTTTTATTTATTGTTTTTTTTTTTTTACATTTTAAATCAGTCTTAATTTTAGTAATTGTTTCATCATTTTATTTTGTTTTAAACTACTTCTATATAGCTTTATTTTTATTATCATTTAAGTTTTTCATTTTAGTTTTGTTAATTTTAGTACTTTAATGTAAATATTTATAGTGTGTGTTTGTGCGTTTGCCTAACTTCAATGAACAGAAATTATGTTTAATCACTGACCTACAATAGAGAAGATTATATAGATGAGTGTTTTTAATAGAAGGACAAACTGAAATAGCCCTGGTTGTGCCTGAATTTAATATTTAAAATGTTAACATGAAATCAGTGCACTCTGCACTTTAATTTATAGTCAACAACTTCATGTAAAGGCCATCAACAACTTTTTTTTTTATTTTAAGCAAATTTTACTCACAAATGTTCCCAGTTAAATGAAACAGGTTAATAACACTCCTATCCCATGTAACAGATCAAACAGTGAGCAGAATGCAGGTTTGTGCTGAGAGCTTGTGTCTCACCTGCATGCAGGTATTTGTTGAGCGAGTCGTGTAGATCCGGCACAGGTAGAGCAGGCAGGCTGCTCTGATACTGAAATGTCCGTTCCGCAGTGGACTCGAGCACCTGATTATCCATTATTACTGGACTGATTCAACTGAGAATCAAATCAGACGAATACTCAGAACGACTCAGTGGCAGCTTGTCCAATCGTAATGTATCAGATTACAAATACACTTCTGCACAATCTGTGTTTACTCCCCCTAGAGACGTGCACTTGACGCAGTGACTTTCAATGCAGGATTCACTCTGGATTTAAGTAATGCATAAATACTGAAATCCCTTCATCGTGCATATACATAATCAAAAAATTCAAAACACTACAAAAACATATGCAGGTCATGATGAACACACATAATGTAAACCGAAACATTGTCGAAGTGACTAACCTCAGTGAGACAAGAGACTGTAGCAATGCAGAAACAGAAACGGCTATAAACTGCACGAGTGAAAGTCTTGATACTTTACTGAAGAACCTCGAAGTGTACATTCAATGCCAGAACGGGAATCGCTCCCGTTACCTTTGCCCTAATTACTGAATGTGAAGTTGAAAACAATAACAATGACTCGATCAAACATGGCTGCCTGCCTGAACAGATTTCAAAATAAACGTCGGTGAGCAGTGAAGGAATTAATGAAATGTTCTGTTCATTTTTAGACTAAATACATATTTTCAGACATTTTTGAATGTTTTTCACTAACACAAAAAGCGCTGTTAGTAATTCTTTAATAAATGTGTGTGGTTAGAACAAAATCATTATGTTCAAAAACGTTTTGAAACTTACAGATCTATTGAGTCATTCATTCAAATATCATCAGTAACGAATGCCATTACATTTTCCTTAGGAAGACTCAATTTAACATAAAACATCAATTTCCATGAAAAGTCCGAATGTGTGATAAAAAAAAAAAAGTATTTTGTAAATAAAATATCAAAATAATCTTTAATGCAGAAATTGAAAATATGTTTATCATAAAATGCATTTAAGCCATTTTTTGTTTGATTTACTTTCTTTAATGTACTTTTTAATACCTTAAATGATCCAGACAAGAATAATGATGGTCACATCATTGACTAGGCTATATATAAAAATATATATAACTTTTTACCTGGAATTTTTTTTTTTATAAAGTTTTATAATAAATAAATAAAAATAAAGGGAGAGAGAAAGATAAATAATTAAATGGGTACATAAACTATAAAATAACAACAAAAAATTATTGAATAAATAAGAAGAAATTAAATAAGAAATTAATTTAATGTTAATATAACAGATTCAGTTACTGGTTTGCTGCAATTACACCTGTTTGATTCACTCAAGAGTTCTCTGGCATCTGTTCCTGAGTGCCTATTTTTCCCCTGATTTGGCCTGGCCTTGGCAAGATTTCCACATCTTGCATTCTGCATCCGATCCCAAGAGCTGTTGTGATGACTACGCTTCAGTGAGCACACTGAGGACAAAGAATCTCTTTGTGTGTAAGGGCACAATTACTGGTCCTCAAACCTGAGGACTCAGCTAATACTAATGAAGCAATACAAAAAAACTCCCTGCAGAATTTCATATTGTGTTAAGATATATAAAATAAAGAGAAGAGATTTACCATATTTGGCAACTTTATTTAATTACAAGATTATATTCTTACATCTTTAGGTCTCACCTGACTTGTAATGAGATAGAGATGAGAGGTATCTCTATGAAATTAATCTTTTAATCTGTTAATCTAGATCACATAAGAAAAAAAGGTTTAAAAATCCTAGATTAATGTTTTAATCTTACAGCTTTTTCATAGTGAAACTTTAATATCTACTTAAAACTATTAAGTAGATGTTTTCCCCAATCACATTCCATACTTTTCAATGGCTTCCTTGGCCAGGGAAATGTAGGCATTCATGGCGTCATCATTTGACATACCTGTTGGGAGAAAAGAGTGACGACTATATGAATCAAGCCATCATCAGAAACATAACTGTAGCTGAGTACAAATCTGAATACAATTTACATCATAAATACAAACAAGTACAAGTACATTCATTTTAATTGCTCGAAAATAATGAAAATATTGAGGAGAAAAAAGCAGGAAAAAAGTTTTTTCCTTACCTTTCCTTGAATTCCATGCTTCCCATTTGGCTTTCCCCTTCAAATCCGTTATTCCAGGTTTGTCTGCACAAAACAGAACATACAGATTTGAACTATTAGATCTAAGCCTCAAGCTCAGATGTATGGTTTAATATAACTATTTATAATGGTCTAGAACAATTACCAGTATTAATGTCCCCAACGATGGCTTGCTTGTAGAGGCCGTACAAATCCAGCAGCTCTTGGTCTGTAGGTCTGGTCTTCACTTTCTTTACGTTCTCTGCATATTGCTCAAATTCAGCCTACAGCCACAGAGATCATGATTTATTCTTTTCCGCCTGTGATCCTATAACAATATTATTAAGCTCTCATGTGTATCTGCTTATATTGGGGGGGATGGTCACATACTGTCAGTGTTGGGGGTAATATATTACAAGTAACGCAAGTTACGTAATCAGATTACTTTTTTAAAGTAACTAGTAAAGTCCCTGTCCAGATTTAAAAAGTAATGCAAAAGTAACGTAATATTGTAATGCATTACTTTTAAAAGTAACTTTCCCCAGCACTGCATACTGTAGTCTGACCCATTTTGCCCCACTAAGCACATTCTTAATCACTATAAGCATCATGCATTATTCTCAGACTGTATGCAGCCTATTGTTTGCGTGCCAACATGAATGCTCTTTGTACCCATATAAACCTACAAGATAAGGGTTGGCATTTGAGAGACAGGCTTTCTCAAGTCTGATTTATCAACTACAAAACTTTAATATGAAATTAATTGTTTATGGATAGCATATGCATGTCGCGCAACTTGTTGCCAGAGCAAGAATAAAGGACAACGTGACGTAATACATCCACGAGCGCACATCCAGAAGCTGCAGATGAAAACAGCACGAAAACGATCGTGATATCTGAAATGGATGCGTAATATGCGCCTGAGCACACGACGAGAATAAAATCAGCTTTGCGTGCACAGCTAAATCTAATGCAGTATTATAATAGGGCTTGTAATCTTTAAAATCCTACCTACATATCCAGCTGCGGACTTAAAGGAATATCCAAACGTTTTGTTATTCATGTATTACATCTCATCAAAAGGAACGTGGAATTAAAAGAAAACAGTGCAGATAAATACCTTCAAAGTCATTTTCTTAGGCGAGTAGTGTGGCTGGGCGCGTCAGCTAGAATGCAGCGTATCTGCACTGATGAATAGAGTTTACGCTGATCTCCAGTGCGCGGCTGTGGAGCTGAGCGCTGATTGGCTGATGGAACGTTCGAGGGAGAAACCCAGTGAACTTCGGCTTATTCTATTTCTATGGTGAAACAATTCATTCCAGCATTGTGCCTTTAGCTTTCACATGCAGCTTTACGTAACACGAGATCCAAAGTTTACCCAAAAAGCATATAAATGGGAAAATGATTAACTGACATTAATTGGCAGGGTATACCCACTGTTTGCAGGTTTATTCATTTTATTTTATTTTATTTTTTTAAACTGAACCTGTAAACAATGGGTAGACATATTTATATTTCCTGGTTATATAGCTAATATAAACATAAACAAATTAAACAAAGCAGATTTTTTAAAACCGAAATTTAGATATAAAAATGTATTTATTAAGGTAGCTCATATATATATATATTTTTTTTTTGTCTTTGTGTATTTAGATAATTTTTCTAGTAGACCAAACAATGAATGTTACAATAATAAAACAAAGTGCTCATCAATATTAGGAAAAACAAAACAAAACAATGGTTGCTAAAGAAGTCTTAAAATAATCAGCTGTGTCAGGACCACTGATCTATAATAGAGAATGTATTTTATGCATTTATATTTATATAGTCATTTATATAGATCAGTTTTCAGGACACAAAAAGCACAGTTTACGTAACTAGTCTCTCTCTATATAATATCGATTTTAAAAACTTATAATCCAATTAACTTTTAATTTTTTCATTTAATCAGGTTAATAGGTCTATTTATATTATTATAAATAATATATTTTGTTACTTATAAAATATTTATTAGCTACATTTGTGAATTACAGCACATGACAAAAAGGCTTGTGGACGATATCCAGCTAGTTGAACAGCTGTGTTTAAGGATATTCAGCCGCTAGATGGCAGCGTGGATTTTAGAAACCTTAACCGATTTATTGTGCGTGAGACCACAGAAGAAGACCTCCAAAAACATCATGTCTGCGCACGGAGAAATGTGCTCACGCTTTGAAAATTAAACCCTGTATAATGGGTGATTTCAGGCTATTTTATTAGGTTTGTATAGTTGCTGATAATTATACGTTTTAGTTAATATAAAAGAGTTTTAATGTAATGTTGCATGCCTCATTGAGCTCATATTATATAATTTAATGCTGAATTTTGCTTAAAAGCAGGTTTCCAGAAAGAATGTCTAACGTTACCCCAACGAAAGGAGCAAAGAAGAAAGAAAAAAAGAAGCCCATATCAGTGAAAACTTCAATGAATAGCCCATACAGCATTCACTGGAGTCCACTAGAAAGAGAGCACAAGCATTTCATACTGAACACACTTAAAATCAAACTATCCGCCGTTGGGCTTCAGAAACAACGAGTCAATAGGTTTCGCGAGTGGGGAAGCAGAAGAAGGTCAAGAAAAAAGGCATCAAACCCTACAGAGGAACAAAAACCAGCTACCACCGAGCCGTGCTGGAGCAACCCGGCCGTGAGGAAACAGCTGGCCATCGGCATCAACGAGGTCACCAAAGGCCTGGAGAGGAATGAACTGAGTTTGGTGCTCGTGTGTAATTCGGTAAAGCCAGCACACATGACGTGCCATTTAATCCCGCTGAGTAAAACGAGGTCGGTGCCCGCCTGCCAGGTGCCCAGTCTGAGCGACACTCTCGCGGGACTGCTGGGTGTCAAGTGCGTCCTGGCGCTGGGATTCAGACGCGGCAGCGAGGTGTTCGAGGATGTGGTCCGCGCGATCACGCCCGTGGTTCCGCCGCTCAGCGTGGCTTGGATCCCTACGGATTCCACAGAGGAAAAGCAGAGCGATACAGTAATGGGGCAGAAGAGGAAATTTGAAGAAATGTCGGATGAAGCCAGTGACGCTTCTCCTTTAATCCTCCAGCCTCTAAAAGTGAAGAAAATCATCCCAAATCCTACGAAAATCAGAAAACCGAAAAAGAAAGGAAAGCAAAAGTGCTTATCGACTGTTTAAGATGTGCTCCATGAATGCAGGTTACTACATAGTGTTTGGACAGATGTGGATCAAGTATATTTATATTTTCTTAGGTTTATGTAATGGTTATGAGAGGAAAAAGACCAGAGATTAATTCTTTTATATTTTGGATGCTTTTATTCAGTCAAATATCCATGCTGGTATACCTTGATGTATATTTTTGACAATTAGATATTTGGGTGGACTCTGTCATGTTTGTCATGGTGCTGCTGGTACTTATTCCCATCAGTTCCAACCTGCAATGGAGTTCAATAAAAATACTGTCTTCAGAAAGAGAAAGCTGATCATTTAAAACTACACAATTTGACATTTAAAAAACAACCTCTCTGAAATAAGGCAAGTACTTCGGGTGTTCTCACCGTAACTCATAAGTTCTTAAACCATACAGATTGGAAAAAAAGTTTCATGCTCATTTCATACAGCAAGCCTTAGAAAAAACATACGCAAACTGACATTCGCGAAAGTGCCCTGGACGTTATTGAATGAAACCACCGGCTGAAATGTGGAACTTTGAGAGGAGTACCTTTCTTTTTAAGCATGTCTGGACCTGCGCTTATTTAAAAGCATATTGTAGATTCAGATACATTAAAGCAAACCATGGCAAGATAAGCTGTATTAACATAAAATCAGCTTCTGCTGTATAATAACGTTGTTCACATTTCATTACGCCTCACCAGTGATTGTAACTGAACAGCGAGCAAGCTTTCCTGACCGCATCACCAAACGCATTAGGAGAAATGCTTATATCAAAATGACAATGCACACACGATTGTTTAATTCTCCTTGTGCTTAAGTATAGCAAAATTACCAGGGCCTGATCGCAAATGCACCATTTGAACGAAGTTATGGTTTGACTGCAAAGAATACTGACAGAACAAAGAAAATCAAGAATAAAATGGAACATGTAACTTAAATACAATTCTAAATATCAGAATTGCTTTACTAAAATTATAATAATTTAAAAACACTAAATGGTAAAGAACAGAAATGGGTGGGAAACAGAAGCTACTTAAGGTGTGACAATCATGTCTTCACAAAACAAAACAAATTAATTCACATTCAAAATTCTAAATGTTTCTTTTGGACACACAAAACCTAAATAAACATATTATTCTTAAAAATGCACCTCAGAGCAATCTGGCCCTTTTATAAACAAGTTGATGTTGTGCTTCAAAATGCAATACATTCTTCCACACATTTAACCATTTACGCTCCCCCTCCCTCCCCTGGCGCACCTCAGAGCAATCTGGCCCTTTTATAAACAAGTTGATGTGCTTCAAAATGCAATACATTCTTCCACATGGTTAACCATTTACACTCCCCCCTCCCTCCCCTCTCACAGACAGCAGGAACTCCAAACGGAATATGACTTTGAAGGCAGCTCCATAGAAAAGACTGGATTTCGACCCCCCCCGTTCCTGTTCCGTTGTAAACCTCACAACACAATAAATATCTGGCATTAAATGTACAGCTTGCTAATTCACACAAATGTATCAACACTCCTTCATAATACAAAACAAAAAGACAAAAACAATGGAATTAAACTTGTTCTGTGAGAGGAAGGATACAGACTGCATGTTAAGGAAAATAAACGAACACTACGTGTGTGTATGCGTGTATGTATTTATGTGTGTGTGTATACAGCTTGGGGATGTGTTTGACCTTGATAAATGTTTCTCACATTCTCAGAGAGAGAGAGAGAGAGAGAGAGAGAGAGAGAGAGAGAGAGAGAGAGAGAGAGAGAGAGTCAAAGAGAAAGGAGGGGAGACCCCTCAATAACTGGAACAAGACCTAAGAGAGCTGCACAACATAACTCATTCACTTTGAATGGATGTCAGTTATTCCTCTTTATATTGACTACGTCCAGGTCAGAGAATTTGAGATGGACCTCTCGATCAGTCTGCATCCAACACGAAGCAGCCAGTTACTGTAAAACAAGGCCAACCTGGGGAGAATGGAGAAGTGATTTAAAAGATGATAATAATGACTGATTATCATCATGTATTTAACATTTATATAGCTTACTTTATATTTAAGAAATATTTAATTACTAATATAAAAATGTATATACAGCATAGAAATAATGTGAAACTTTTCAAGCTGTGTTATCCTATGTTATCACTTTTAATGCTGGAGCACTGCGAAACTGAAATGAATAATAAAAAATAAAAAAAAACGTATCTACAAGGTAGTAGACTTTACATGCAAATGTTTCTTTACCAAGCATTTAACTATCAAGCCCATTGCTACCTTAAAAAAAAAAAAATGAATAAAATTATTTAATAAAGTACACAATTATGACAACTAAATACATGATATATATATATATATACACATATATATATATATATATATACACATATATA